TTCTAGACAGTCGAATACAAAATGTTTTATTCGTGTATACATATACCACAGGTGGGCAAAGTGCGGCCCGCGAAAATAAATTAAAAACCCTATGTGTGCGGCCTGCCAAGCAACATTGGCTAGAAAACACCTTATTGTTTACAGGCAGACGCCGATTATGTAAAAAAAGTAACATTAAACTGAGAATAAATTGGTGTAAAAGCAGTGCTTTGAAGATTTTGGAAACTCAATGGAAACATCAAAGTTTGGGTGCATCTGCATGCAGTTTGAGTGTATTTAGCACTGTTTCTGTCATTATTTGATTAGTTAAGATGTGTATAAGATACCACAATGCTACGCAGCAACATTGATTCTATGTTACTTCATTATAATACAGGTATGACTTCTAGAGTATTCTTTGGCAAACAGTATATCAACAAACAGTATAAGGAAATTTTTTTTTATTTGACAGGATATTTCCGATATGATACATCACTCGCATTTATTCGAGCTCTGTTTTCACCATTATTTAATTATATAAACAGAGTGCTACACACAAAAATTAATTATATACATACATACATACACATATATATATATTATATATTATATAATTATGCATATTTGAAAATGATATCTAGTTTATTCGATAGTATTGCCTTCATACCATTACTTGAATGTGATATTTTATTTATGCCTACATAATTTCATTTATGCTAAAGTTATCTATATACTTTTCTTAATTTTTCTTGATTTTTCTTTTCACTTTCTCCATTATATTCATTTTCTATTCTTTTTATTTCTTTTCCTTTCCAGCTTTCCTTTAATTTTCTGTTTCTTTTCCTTTTAATATTTACATATGTGTTTATATACCATTTAAAAATGATAATTAGCCATCTCATAGGCATGAGGTCTATTCGATATTAGTGTCTTCACACCATTAATTTTAATATTTGATTTATATTTACATAATTTCATTTATGCTAAAACTAGCTTTAATATAGATGATCTTTAATATCTGCATCTATCTCTCTCCCCAGGGAAGATTTGAAGACTGAGTAGACTCAAAATCGATTAGGTTTTAGGTTTTAATTCAAAGAAAATACCACTATGGCACTTGCCACCTAATTTTCGCCTCGGATTTTTTCCACTAGAAGATTTCTTTTCCATCCAGTTATTTTTCCAGGCTATTTCTTAAGGCTGTTTTCAAACTGTTATTTCCCCCCGACTGTCTTGTCCCAGTATTTTCCGTTGTATTTTTCCTCCTATTTTTCCAACTGAATGTTTTCATCAGTTTACCTATATGTGTAAGGTGGAACACATTATTTGTTTATGCTTTTGTTTATGTTTTGTAAGGTTACATCATAAATGTGTGCCGATAATAAAAAGCCTTATCCAATCAATTAACTGATTGACTCTTGATGCATTTGAAATACTAACGAAGCCAAAGACTCAATGTAGAAACGTGATTTTAAAAAGTTTGCTCCCGTGTTCAAACAAAAAAACAGGAAACCTCTTTTTAACATTGAGTACTCTTTTGTACTATATATATCCTACTTAAGTTTTACTGCATCAGCTGATAATAATCTGGCAAGGAGTGGAAATATTATTTCCACCATTAAGAATGTCTCGTAGTGGCCATTCTTGTTCTATGCCGAACATTTTCCAGTAGGTTTTATTGGGTTAACTCACAAGCTGATCTATTATGATATTCAATTGGTGTGATATGTGCTGGAAATATGAATACATAGGCTAAAATTAATTATTTTGGCGGCCATATTAAATTTCAAGATGGCGGCCATTTTCAAATTTAATATGGTGGTCATAATTTCTGATGGCTGTATGGTAGTCCCTGTTATGGAAAACATGTGCAACGGTCTTTGATTGACAGTGCTAGGTACTGTAGATATGAATATTGACAAAAATATAATTAATTTGGCGGCCATCTTGAAATCCAATATGGCGGCGCCATCTGACATAATTTCTGATGATTGCATTACACTCCTTGATATTGTAAAAATGGGTAATGATCTTCAATTGGCAATGACGTCCTGTAGGTATGAATATATTGGCTAAAATCAATTATTTTGGCGGCCATATTGGATTTCAAGATGGTGGCCATTAGGAGACGTTATCTTTTGGGGTCTATTTTTTTTAATGATCTTTAGGTGTCATAGTATCACTATGGGAAGTTTCATGCTTTCTTCCAGAAGTGCACGATTCTACCTGAAATTCAACTTTAGTCGCTCTACTATATTGAAATGCTAAAACGCATTGTTACCTCAGTGTACAATACCTCCGTTTTAATTTTATAAGCGTTTACTGTGTTTGTTTATACTTACTAATGTAGAAAAATTAAAGTAGTTTCATATAAAATTTCAGCCCGGAAACCTTGACTCAGAAATACCGGGATGGTGTCCGGCGGGGGATAGTTTAACTATTAGTTAAGTGTTTCTTGTTTTTGCTTAATACAGCTTTTAACATGTTATTACCTCAATGCACAATACCTCAGTTTAAGTTTTTAAGTATTTATTGTTTTCTAACAAATGCAGGACAAAATGGAAGTATTTCCATAAATTCTAACCCCGAAACCTAGACTCAGAAATACCGGGATGGTGTCCAGCGGGGAATAATTTAACTATTAGTTAAGTGTTTCTTGCTTGTGCTTTGTATCGTACTGCTACAAACACATTGTTACCGCAATGTACAATACCGCAGTTCAATTGTGTATGCAATATATTAAAATCATATAGATACTTGATTTACAATCATTCCATAATCCATATGGTGGACACATTTGTTGTAATAGTAGAAGAAGCAATGTAAAATTCAAAACTGGTACCACGTTATTGACTAACTATAGTATAATGCTGTTACATCTGTAACCTAGAAGAGACTGTAACCTAGAAGAGACTGCTGTCAAAAGTTAATACATTTAACATACATGCAAAAGTGCTACCAGGTTCTAATCCTATGATTACATATTTTTCAACAATCTGATTGAAATACACCTTGACGCTGTGCCATTTATCATGTATAGACAATTCATGTTCGGTAGTTTAATCCGATCTAATAAATATTTGTTACTGAGTTTGTATTATGGTATTGTTGTATTTCATCTGAAATCAGTGTTTAACAAAATTTTATCAAACAGAAATCTATAGCTAAAGTAGTAAATAATTGCTGTCAATTGGATTTTATTTCCAATGTTTAAAAGTTCCAGTGTAAATGGTCCCATCATTCACTTAATTCCTGTTTTATTCTGAAGTTGATCTCCAGAACCACTGTCTGTGTCATAATCAGGTGTTTCATTTCATTTCATTATTAGATTCGACCATATCATACTATAAATAATAAGTCCATTTGGGAACCAGGGCTGCTGTCTGGGCTTATGTACAGGATAAAGTTGCTGTCATTGGTACTTATGTTACCCCCAGTGTATAATAGTGCCACAAAAAAAATCATCCGTGTTCCTCTTCACATGTCATTTGGGCGTGGCCTTTAATGTCACTGTTTAGGGTCACGTATACATGAAAACATTGCTGTCATCGGTGTTTCAGCATTCTACAATGTACAAATAGTAATTCCTAGTTGGTTTCATTCATGTCTCTCTTTGCTTGATTTTATCAAGTTGCTACTATATAAGACCCGCATGGGTCCCTTGGGGCTGCTGTCTGGGCTTATGTACAGGATAAAGTTACTGTCATTGGTATTTATGTTACCCCCAATGTATAATAGTAACAATAAAAAAATATTCATCCATGTCTCTCTTCACATGATTAAATATGTATTTGGGCGTGGCCTTTAATGTCACTGTTTAGGGTGAG